ATTCTTCCTTTTTCTTCTCTGTGACCTCTTCTTCATGATGATGGGTGACCTTGAGTGCTACATTTTTTTTCACTTTTCTCGTTTATTCTGTTCAAATAAGAGTATGTTCATACTGATATATAGACACGATTGATTTTATGAAAGGACTCAATATGTATCATGATCGATGATAGCGATAAAGTTACTTGTCTAGTTTGTCACACTTCACAGTAATATTATTATCTGTTTAATAATAATATTTTGTTTTTCAGATCGAATAATAGGTAAATATTTTACTGAAATTCTAAGTGTGATTTGAGTTAATTCAAAACATAACGATAATATTATTTTATTTTCTAAATATAAAATCGTATAAAAAATATTTTTTCAATGGCAAGAAAAGAGAAATATTTATGAATACATTTTGATCATGATTTTGAAAAATATATCTCCCATTAAATAAGTTCACAGATTTGAAGAACTATTATTTTCTTAAACACATAAGAATAAGCCATCAATAATTCATTGGCGGTATTCTTTTTGTAGAGAAAAGAATTAGAGTTGGTTATTTTATTTTATTTTTTGTAGAAAGAAATGAATCGTTAAATTTCAAATTTTACAATCGACGTATGGATCAAATTAAACGAAAATTATCTGTTAATCAATCATCAAAAGAAGAAATGAAGAAATTACGAAGTACGTTATGCGAATAATAAATACAGGAGAGATTCAATGTGGTGAGAGTCTATGTGAAAACATTCAGATGTGGATATGAAACAGATGAAAACAGAATGTAAGTCACCGTGTTATTTCTTAATGCAGCAGCAACATGTTTCGCTCCTTCGTCTCCGATTGGATTACCTGCGAGATTTAGCATTGTGAGCGCCTATGTAATAAAGTAGAGATGTGTATATGACAGAGATAAAAAGACCATGAGAGTTACCGTGCTATTTTGTAATGCACCAGACAGATATTGTACTCCGGCAGGTTCAATTTGATTGCTTCCAAGATTTAGTGTGGTGAGGATCTGTGTGAGAAAATGCAGATATCGATATGAGAGATATGAAGAGACAATGATATTCACCGTATTATTTTTTTTTTAACATTGAATACGTTTATTGTTCCCAAAAGGGTTAACAAGAAGAAAAGCTCTAGATACATATAAATAAATCAACATAAAGAGTTCAATATACAGACAGTAGAATCGCTCCTCCTGGACGCATCAATCAAGACAACAAAGGATAAAGAAAAAGAAGGGAATATATAAATAAAAAAAGAATACAAAAAGTGCACACAACATTGTTTTAAGTACACAAAAAATAAAAGATCAACTATATATTATATATATTAAGGTGGATAGAGATACTTGTGCACAAAATCTTCAATAAAGAGAGAAGAGGAACGAAATACATTTTTTTGAGGTTCATGATCACAAAAGAAAGAAAAAAGATCAAGATTCGTATGGTGAGCTTGCTGCGCCAAGCGATTAGGAAACACACTATTCTTTCTAAATTCCATAGATCTATAATATGAACGAACTCTATCCGGTGATGTAGCAATAAGATAAGCCTCCCAAGTTTCTCTATATACAGATGCTTCAAGAGATGTATCAAGATGTTTCTTAAATCTCATCCAATAGTCATACAAATAGTCAAGGAGTGCTTTCTCCTTAGTGAGACTTAAAGTAACAAAATCATCCCACCCCCAAAGGCCGTATACAATCCTAAGACCCGTACAATACACATGTTCTATATATTTTTTTTGATTTTCAGTGAAGTAAAACCATGTGGCAAAAAGCCAGATAAAATGTGGAAGTGCAAATGCACAAAAAAGTTGTCTTCGAATTTTCCATTCTTGTAATGGTATTATTCTATATAATTTTTTTAGTGCCATATAAACATTTCTTATCTTAGAAAGTCTTGCTTTAATAAACATATTCCAACCAAGTTTTACACATAGAATTACTCCTAGATATTTGAAAGAATTGACAAAATCGATCTCTTGATTTTCATAACAGACTTTGGGAAAGCTAGGAGAAACTACATTATGAACCAGCATTGCTTTTGTCTTTCCTACATTAACTGGCTGTATCATATCTTTCGAATACTTAGCTAATGTTTCCATTGCAACTCTCGCTTGCTCCTCTAACCAAATAATGTTATGCGAAAATTTTTTCTCAAGACAACCTTTTAAAACAAGAGCTAAATCGTCAGCAAATAAGTGACAACAAAAACAAAAGAAATATTTAGGGAGAAAATGGATGTGCAAACGGAACAGCGTTGCTGCTAAAACAGATCCTTGTGGTGCTCCAACATAAATATTTATGATTCGAGATATCGATTCACCGTGATAGATAGCTATAGTTCTCCCTTGGAGCCATTGATAGATCCAACGGACAAGGGGAAGCGGCATATCTAATTCTAGCAAAGTCGCTATTAATGCTGGGTACCACATTCTGTCGAAAGCAGAAAGAAAGTCAATAAAAATAACTAGTGATGGTCTATTATTTGCTGCAGTAGTAAGTCTTAGATCTTCAATAAGCGATAAAATTCTTGTTTGTAATCTTCTATTCGGTGTAAAACCTGACTGTTCATCAACAAAAATATTTTTTTCTGTACACCAATTTAATATTTGATCATGAATGCATCTTTCAAACCATTTTCCAAGATTTGGAAGTAAGGAAATTGGTCTTAATCTATCCTCTTCAGGATATATCCCACCTTTAGAAAGACAAATTACTTTTGCATGTTTGCTAGCTTCGAAAACATTCCCTTTACTAGCACATTTATTGAAGAGGACAGTAATAATATTCATATATTCACCCGGAAGATTTTTCAGAAGAAAGGCAGACGTTCCAAGACTGTCTAAAGATTTCTTGGGTGAAAATTTTTTCCAATTTTTAATTACTTGTATTATAGATATTGGGTCAAGCGGAGTGTTAGGCATATAAGAGATCTGTTTATATACACGAATGTATTCCTTATGGACATCATTCAAAGGATCATGTACTGGAAGAGCAAAATGCTGTTCAAAAAAATCTCCTAACTGATTAGTTATTTTTACTGAATCTTTCTCAATGTTCCCATTGACCGTCAGTCCACGAAATGAAGGAGAATAGGAATGAAATGCAGGACGCACAAAACGCCATATATTTTGTCCTTGTGAAAGAGACTCAAGATATTTTTCACGTCTCTTCTGTTCGTATTTTGCTCTTTCAGTGTAAAAAATCTTTCTAATAGCTAAAAATTCTTTAAGATGAGACAAGAAACGAGTTCTTCTATATTTTCTTCTATTTCTATTCACGGAGCGAGCAAGAGAAACAAGAAAAGGTGGCCATGGTGGCCGATACATTTTTACAGGAATGTATTCACTCGTTCTGTCACACAAAGAAGTAAGAAAAGAGGAGAAAATAGTGAAGAAGGTTTGCTCATCAAAATTATATACACATGAATTCCAATACATATATAAACAAGAAAGAATAAACGTAAAAATCTTCCAATTTGTTTTGCGAAAAACACCTTTATCAGATATAGCTATAGAAGAGGAGTATAAAACAGGAAAATGATCAGAGGTACCTTCCCCTAAAGTTTCACATTCCCATCCAGAACTATCATTCGACACAGCAAAATCAATAATAGAATCAGACTTTTTGGATGTGGGAGTGGGGGAAAAAATTCCTTCACATCCATTTGTTTCCATCCAATCTTTCAATGCTAAACCACTGGTGTTATTTGTGGAACATTTCCAGTCGCTATGTTTCGCATTGAAATCATCAAAAATAAAAAATTTCTTATTCAAAAACTTCTCGAATTCAATAAGAGGAGGCTTGAGCTTAGGTGGGACGTATACTGCACCAATAAGAATGGGAGAAAGTGCGACTTCAATCTCAATCATGAGAAAGTTCGTAACTCTATGTATGACTTTAGATTTTAGGGAAGAATGTAGCAATATTGCCACTCCACCAAATGAGTTCGTTCCTATTTGTGTATGCCAATAATGGTTCGGCACAGAAGGCATTTTACGAATCAAAGACCCTACACCAGTTAGAATAACAACATGAGGAAGATAAGAAGAAAGTAAAATATCAAGATCTGACAGATGCGTACTCAGACATTCACAATTATATAGAACAACAAGAAGATTCTCCACTACATTCTTAGGCCTCGTCTTTTTCCACAATTCACATAAATTGGAAATGGAAGTTTTTCTATTCCACTCATTTAAAATATTTAAAATACACATTTTATCTTCAAAATTCCCGTCAAACTTATCAACTGCAGAAAGAGGGACATAAGACGTGGCATACTTGAAATCTGGACAATCCATTCTGTGAAGAGAAGATGGATTCCATAGTCAATTGATATAATTCTATTTGTTTGTGCATAATTGTGGAATATTGAAACATTTCTCGTTGAAAAGAGTCTTTCAATTGCATTAGATATGTCGTTGTAACTCCATTTGTGTTTTTCATACTTTCAATATGTTCTTTTTGTTCATCTCTACAAACAGTCTTGACAAATTCACATAATATATTGTTAGTTGTTGATAGATTGACCGAACAATCAATTGTAGTACTTATAACTTGTTGCATGGATGCTAAACATTCATTTTGTGCACGAATTTGCTGTTGAAGAATAAGCCATCCTTTTTTAACTGTTTCAATTTGTTTTTCATATAATCTGTTAATTCGATTTTTTTCTTCGTCAAAATCTCTCTTTATCTTATTCAAATCATTGTCAAATTCTCTAATTGCTGAATATTCCTTTGACATTGATGCATTTGCTGCTTCTTGTCGACTAGTCCAAAAGTTCTTAGTTGGTGAATATGAAGAATTGTTTGTGGTGGTCATAGGAGGATGTGGAGCAGAATATCCACGTCGAGAAGATGTTAGAATTCGATCACGATCATTGGGTTTTCGACAGTCGATTGGAATATACATACGTACATGTGCGGGAAGTTTGTCAGTATTATTTTTCAATTTATCCAAAAGATTTTTCCGAAAATTACCTATTGTAGGACATTTGTAATCAGTGGATATATGATTACCACCACAATGCTGACACCGAATTGCACATTCAGTATGGCTATCTCCATTTTCTTTATCTTGACCACATCGTCGACATATTATATAAGGAGATTGACAGGCTTTCTTAATATGACCAGGCAAATTACATTTCGTACAAATAAGAATCTTTGGTGGAGGTAAATATTCATCGACGTCAAGTATCAGTCCTTGAATTACAATTTTCCCATCATAAATAATTTTCTCATATTCGTTTTGTTGCTTGAATATAACACGAATATGCCGAGCACTTGACCGAGCAGTTCCTATCATTTCATTAACCATAAATATAGAAGAAAAACGAAGTTTCATCTCATCGAGCACATCATCTTTTGAAATAGTAGTAGGAACGAACTTGATCACTACAGAATTTTGTGCAGGTAGTTGTTTTGGTGGTTCCAGCTTAATCTGTACATTACCAATAGAAGATGGATAATGGCTGACATCACATAAATACATATAAAAATCAATATCGTCAGTAACACCACAAAAAAGATTTCCATTATCTTGTAACCACCACTGATCTAATCCAATTGGATCTTTATGACGTGGATATTCATTACGAAAATTCAATTCAATATATTTCATAAAGTCTTTTATAAACTGAACACCAGTTTCCTTTGATCGAATAGAAGGATTACAATGTATTCTAATCATACTTAAGTAGGTAGACAAGTATCAATAGAATGTACTATGGCTTGATCAGAAATAAGAATCTTTTCAGAATCATTATATTCTTGTTCATTGAACATCCTTTGAAGATTTTGATTTTTTATTAATTTTCTCTTAATGAGGACTATTATAACGTGCAGTTTTGGATGTTTTAGAATAAGTCTACTGATCATCATTCATAGGAGTATCCATATCTTCATCATCAGATCTTGATCTTGCAACTTTTTGCCGACGTTGCTGTTCAAGTCTTTCCATGTTTTTAAGTCCGACTAGATCTTGTTTTGGATCACGCAATGGCTTTGTTATTGCACTCATATCGTCATGTATTTTTTTATGAAATAATATTGATAAAATTTACCAAAATTGTAAAAATTAATATAAGAAGTAGCTCACGTGTACATACACGTGACACGTATATGCACAGAATGAGAGAAGAATAAGTACAAAAAATACGTCCGATCGCTATGAAGGCAGGAGGAGGAATGATTCACCGTATTATTTCGCAAAGTATTAGCCAGATGTTGTACTCCTTCATTTCTTATTCGATTGAAATGGAGTTTTAATGTGGTGAGTGTCTGCGTGGAAAATTATAGATATGGATATGAAAAGAGGATGTGGATTACCGTGTTATTTTTTAATGCATCGGCCATGTGTTGTGCTCCGATAGTTCCAATTTGATTTTCTCGGAGATGTAGTGTGGTGAGTGTCTGCATGAAAAAGTGGAGATGTGGATAACAGAAACATGAAAAGAGAATGAGGATCACCTTGTTATTTCGCAATGCACGAGCCAGATGTTGTGCTCCTTCGTCTTCGATTCGATTGCAGCTGAGATCTAGTGTGATGAGTGCCTGTGTGAAAAGGAGAAGATGTGAATATGAGAGAGATGAAGAGAGAATGTGGATTACCGTGTTATTTCGTAATGCATCAGCTAGATGTTGTGCTCCGAGAGCTCCGAATTGATTCCAGGAGATATGTAGGTTGGTGAGTGTCTATGTGAAAAAGTGAAAATATGGAAATGATAGAGATGAAGAGATATTGTGGGTCACCGTGTTGGTTTTTAATGCATCGGCAAGATATTGCACTTCTTTGTCTTCAATTTGATTGCTTGCCAGATGTAGTGTGACGAGTGTCTGTGTGAAAAAGTGGATATGATATAGACGAAAAGACAATGAGTGTTACCATGTTAGTCCGCAATGTATTCGCCAGATGTTGTGCTGTTTCGTCTTTGATTACATCGTGGTGCAGGTGGAGTTTGGTGAGTGCCTGTGTGGAAAAAGACGAGAATGAAGTTTGCGGTCTTATTTTGTATTAAGGTTTACAATATAAATGAAATCATTTTTTTCTACTGATTGCCTATAATACAAGTAGAAGTGTCGTCTTCGTGTGAATTTCAAACATAAGAACTGTTTCCTTTTAATTCATTGTTGGTTTTCAATTTGAAATTTTCAAATGAATTATACATATTGAATTCAATTTTTTACTACGGATAATGCAGTTAACTGCCGAAGAAATTAGAAGAGAAAATATCTCTCTAATATGGGTGTTTCGTTTATATGAAGCGCTGTGTTATGAGTGGAATCTGATTAGTCAGAGCAATATAATGTAGAAAGAAATTATGAATAGATGAAAGCACCATTGATTTAATAAACTATGTAGTATAAGGATAGGTTGAATTTTAGATTGGTTTTGTTTGAAAAATGGTTACTTGAATTTATTTTATTTTTCGAATTGTATGAATGTTCACGGGTTTTTTTCATGAATTATGTTGCTTTGTTATATGTCATCGAGAAAAAAAATTAAAAATAATAGTTTACATGATTTGTATGAACTTTTCTTCATAAGAGTAATATTGTTGAAATATTTTCTCTGAGATTTTTCAAACATATTGAGAAATGTTGCCAATATAGTTCCTAAAGTTTGTTTATGTGTATTACAGTAGTAATGAATAGCATTAGTCTGTTTTGGGTTTTATTTATCTCTTGACCTATTTCTTTGTTTCTACAGTCAAGATTATAAGTAGAAAATGAACTAGAAAATTTGCTAAATATTATAGTATGCACATGAGTTTATATATGTATTTTCGTTGATTAGACAACTGAATAAGTTAAGTTTTCTGGAAAAAAAATGATGAACGACTCACATCATAATGAGAAATATTTTGAATGACCGTACCAAACTTTCTGACCCCCGATTATTTCTGTTCATCCACAAGAAAAGTATTACATTGTTTCATTTATTAGAATTATTATTATATTACAAGAATTTGTGTCTCATCTTTGCTCTGTTAATAAGTTGGTGAGAAACCGTTACATCTCGACAAAT